TGTGATTTTTCAAAAATCAAGTGATTGTTTTTAATTTTCACATTACACCTGATCCTGTCCTCTGATTGGCCAGAATCGTGAAACCTGGGTAAAATTAGTAAATGCAAAATTTACTATGTTGAAATAGCATAGTTAGAATGTTACCCAAACCGGTTATTCGAATATCTATTTAACGTTATCACGTGATTTTACGAATAAATCCGTAAAATCACATGATAACGTTAAATAGATGTTCGAATAACGGTTTGGGTAGCATTCTAACTATGCTATTTCAACATAGTAAATTTTTTAAAATTTTACAAAGTGCAAATAAAAAATTTCGAAAAAAAAATTTTGAGAAGAGTTTGAGAACAGCGAAGGGTTATATATATGTTTTTTGGATTTTGTGCATGTTATCTAAAAAAAAAAGAAAAAAACAAAAATGAAGTAATAATTAAATCAAAAAAAAAATGATATATTTTTATTATACACATATGTACATATCATTTAAAAATCAGTTACATATGTACATATATACGTACATACGTATGTACTTTTTTACATATGTATGTAATTTTTTTTATCTTACGTTTGTACATACGTACGATCTTATGAATGATGTACGTATTAAATGAATATGAAAATAATTTAAATTAATAATGATAACGATAATAAGTAGGCAGATACTAGGGATGGGCAATGTAATTTTTTATATAACCGATATATATTTTTTAATCCTTACATATTTTGTAAATTATTACATAATTTTTAAGAGAAATAGATCACAGAATAAAATCATTAAGAAGTTTAAATCTGTTCTTGAAAATTTTGAAAATTTAATTAACGTTAACGGTAATAAATTATGATATAATTTCCCATTATTACATATTGCATCAAAAATTTAAATAATAATACATAAGAATACATATTATGTAAAAAATTTGCCCATCCCTAGCAGATACAGTACTTCTGCATTAAAAATATCGGATCCGTTCAGATAAAATAAATACTGAAATAGAAGCATAGGTCAAATTTGTTTCGATTGGTTGCTTATTTCTATTGTAAGATAAGTTAGATCTAGTTGTTCCACCAACTTATCTTACGTAGCAAATCTGACAATATAGATACGTACGTAAACAAAGTTATTACACAAACATTATTATTTTCCAGTAATGAACTTGACCATTCCAGCAGTGCACAAAATCGTGACATGACATGTCCTGATTTTTTCCAGTGATGATTCTATTAAATGGAATTTTGGATCTGTAGCAGGAGATATTAACAAATACTATCACTTTTTATTATGAATATAATCTATTACGTATACTTTAATGATAACTAACAGAAGTTTTCTGATTGCTAAAAAATTCTGTCAGAATTTTTTTCAATTAATCTGATTCCGACAATGGCAACAATCTAGTATATTAAAACAATACATATTATCAATACTGTATTGGCAAATGGAGCAATGGTGTACTTGATTACATATATTTAGTTATTAAATAAATAATATAAAATTTTCAATGAAGCAATGAACTGGAACATGCAAAATTTCTCAATGGAGCATGAGTTAGGGATGTATTACATAAATTACTTTGTTACGTTTTATGTAAATTACATTGTAACTTACGAAATTGTAATGTAACTTTACATTAAATAGTGCATTGTCACATATTGTCACATGATAATTTTACTGACATTACAAAAGTTTAGCCAGCACTAATAGATGTCCATCATTATGTTCAGAATTATACAAAATTTCGTAAAATAACAACCGTTCTAGTGTAAAAAATTTTGCTAGTCATGTGCTGCCAATCAGAATTGGTGTTATAAAATAACCAATCTAAAAATAGCTCTGTCTCTGACCCTGCATCTGAACCTTTTCGCCCGGGTATATCTATATACTACGCCCGATTTGGAAACCAGATAGGTTAGTCATGTATAACCGTATCTATTAAGGGTAAATAGGTTTGGGACGATTTTCCTCTTAGAACTAAGCAATTTTGGGGTTTTTATTCTTTTATTAAAGATTGCCAGCGAAAGCCTAACTAGCTTTTGCTTTCTTTACATATTTATATTGCACGTTACAAAGCAATTACATAATTATGACTTCAATTCGAACGTATAGCTATTACAACCCTCAAATGACCTAGTGATTCGATTATGCTAAGCGACTTTGACCTTACATCACGTTTTATGTGAAGTATGATCGTAATATTGATATGATTCTAGTGGTTATATGAAACCCATCCAAATTGGGTAGTCACGTTCATTGCACGACACGTGTGTAGTATTATGTAACCCGATGGTTCCCTTACACTCTCCCCATTTAAAACAGTTTCACTAGTTTTTTCGAACTCTTTTACCAAGTCTTTATAATTTTCAAGATTAGTCAAGAGTTCCCAAGTAGCATCGTATAGCGGGTGATCTTTCCATTTTACTAAGTACTGTAGGTGACAGTAGTATGTTCTCTTGTCTAGTATGGCTTCGACTTCGTGTTCTTTTAGATCTTTGGTTGCAATTTCTGGGGGTTCTTTTCTTACTTCATCTCTAAACTCACTAGGGTAGTAAGGTTTTAATAAGGATATGTGGAAAACTGGGTGAATACGTAGTGTTTCCGGGAGTTTTAATCGATATGTTACTGCTGAAATTTTCTGAACGATTTTGAAGGGTCCTATGAGTTTTGCGATAAGTTTCTTTGATGCTCTTTTTGCACTTTTTTGTAGAATTATATTTGTCAAATTCAATAATACTAAATCTCCTTCATTTAATTCTAGATAACGTCGCTTTTTGTTGGTTTGATCACTTTGTTTCTCTTGAGCATTTACTAACAAATCTTTTGCTATATTTATTATCTCGGTCCAATACTCGAACAGTTCTTGTGCTGCTTTAACATTTGTTGGGTTAACCTTTTTATTTGTTAGGCTTAATGGTGTCCTCGGATAGTATCCATTATCTAATTAGAATAGTGTATAACCCATAGATCCTTGTAACGAATTATTGTAAGAAAATTCTGCGGCGAGCAAAATTTCTTCCCAATTGTCTTGCTTGTAGTTTACATAGGCACGCAAGACTTCTTCAAGGATTCTGTTTGTATGTTCTGTTTGTCCATCAGTTTGTGGATGTGCTGATGTTGACATTTTTAACTCTGTTCCCATTATTTTGAAAAGGCACTTCCAAAATTTACTTGTAAATTTTGGGTCTCTATCGAAAACTATAAAACGTAGTAATCTGTAGTGTTTAAAGATTTCTTTGAAGAAAATTTGGGCGACTTCTGCTGCTGTTGTGGAACTTTTGGTAGGTATGAAATGTGCTTTCTTGCTTAATTTATCTACCACTATCATTATTGAATTGTTCCCATTTCTTGTTCGTGGTAGGTGTGTTATAAAATCCATCGACACAATTTCTCAAGATTGCGACGGAATTTCTAGGGTTGTAGCAATCCTGCTAGGGCTTGTGTCGCACTTTTGTTTCTTTGGCAGCTATCGCATTGTCTTACATATTTCTTTATATCTTTGCTCATTCCTTTCCAATAGTAACTTCTTCTTAATCCTTCGTAGGTTTTCTCAAATCCAAAATGCCCATTCAAGTCGTGGCTTTCTTTTAATAACGGTCTTCGTTCTTCAGATTTTTTTGCTATGTATAATCTCGGCTCTTCTGTTCCTTCTCTGAAAAATAATAATCCATTTTCTTTTATTTCAAATCTACTTACCTGCTTTCCTAATCTTTTAGCTTCTTCGCACTGAGGGTCTTCTAGTGCTTTTAAAATTCTTTGGAATAGGTATCTTTTTTATATTCTTTTTTTATCTTTTCGTACATATCATTTTCAATACTAATTTTTATTATTGCATTTGCTTCAGGTTTTCTTGACAGTGCGTCGGCGACAACATTAACCTTTCCTGGACGGTATCTAATAGTGAAATCGTATGCTTAAAAGGTTTCAACCCAACGGGCTTGTCTGCGTGATAGCTTTGTTTGGATTGTAGATATTTCAGCGACTCATGGTCGGTTATTATTTGGAGGGTGTTTCCTTCTAAATATACACACCAAATTTTTAGTACATAGATAATCACTAGGAGTTCCTTTTCGTGTATTGGATAGTTTAATTCCACAGGGGTTAGTTTTCTTGATTCGTATGCTACTGGTTGTTCTCCTGAGCCTTGGTCTTGACATAGAACTGCACCGATTGCGACGTTCAAGGCGTCGGTTGTAAATATGAATGGTTTGCTATAGTCTGGAATTAATAAAACTGAAGCGGATGTTAATGTTTCTTTAAGTTTTTTAAAAGCTGTCTCCTGTGTTTCCTTCCACTCGAAATTTTCATTTTTCTTTAATAGCTTTGTTAATGGGGCTGCGGTGTTCGTGAAATCTTTTACGAATTTTTAGTAATACCCACAAGGTCTAAAAAGGATCAGAGGTCATGGATACTGGTAAGTGCAGGCTAATCTTGAATTGTTTTAATTTTCTTGGGGTCTGCTTTTACTCCTTCTTGTGAAATTATGTGGCCTAAGAACTC